TGTTTCCTGTAACCAGCCGGACTGACAGGAAGTGCACACTCAGTGTGCACCTTCCTATCACTCCGGCCGGCCGGCCACCGCAGACCGGAGTGCAGCTCGGCCACGCTACAGGGATGGGAGAAGCCTCAGGCGGCTGCAGTTTTTAAAGGGCCGGCCCGCCGCGGCCGGTCTTACAGGAATTTAGGGCGGGCTGGGGGGCAATTGCCTCCCTGTACCCCGGCAAAGCCCGCCCCTGGCAGTGAGAGGAGCAGGGCCGCCAGACCGGGGAAGCTGCCACCCGGCCCGGCGGCTCCAGCCAGGAACGCGGCCGGCCCCCAGGTGCCGCGGCCCACCGGGAAATTTCCCGATATCCCGGTGGGCCAGTCCGGCCCTGTTTGTGGGTACAAAAGGCTCACCCTGAGAATTACCTTGCAGGTGTTAGTGACGTGAATACAATGTTTTGAACTGTTCACTTAAATTACACATGCACTTTACTTATCAAGAATAATGTTATGTTTTACATAAGGTGTTGTTTTTTTTCATTGATTTTGATTGATATTTACTCTTTAATAAGGGTATGTTCGTTTATGTGTGTGGCCGAACCAACCTCGCCACTGTCCACTGGAGAAGCCTGGTTGCTCGCCTGCTCCCTTTAGACTATGGCCCGGCATTTAAAACCTTTTATTTTCCCTGCTGAAAGGCGTATTCGTGCCTTTCTGCCGGGGTGGATGGTAGATTCAATCTACCGAACAAAGTACCGAACGATCGACCACCTGGGAACTGGAGTGTGCCGTCAATTGACCGCCCAGAAGCTGCGGTTAACTGCAGCTTAATCGACGAACGCTGGGTGGCCTTTGTTCGTTTGCCAAACACGTTGCAGCGGCCATGTTAACTCCCGAACGGCCAGCGGTGTTCAGCGCCCAAACTATGGAACTGGAAACGGACACTTATTTGCGCGAACACCGCTGAGCCGCCAGCCTCCTTACCTCTGCATTCGGTTGTGGAACCGAATGACTGTTCATCTGGTAGTTTGACCGTATGAACAGCATCACCCCAGATACCTGAGCCATGGAGCCTATTCATGTAATGAAAGACTATGGAAAAGACTTTGGCTCCATGGCGATTGAACTGTATGTATGTGATCTGAGCGCCATTCGGTAATAATGTGCGCTCAGATCTAAGCTATCTGGGGATTGGTAGAATGTATGTGTTTTATGTAATTTTATGTCTTTTATGTCTTTTTACTGAAAATGTGTATAATGGAGTTTTGCCTCTGTCCTTATTGGATTACTTCACTATATCTACAATCGTCTGAATAAGCAAGCAGCCCTTAGTGTTTTCATGCCACTGCCATGCCTATTTTATCAAGTATTCATGGAAACTTCAATACTCTATGCTTACAAATTGGCTTTAGTGCTTAAATGTACCTAAATTGAGAATACATGTATTTTGTAACATAGAATGTATTGAGAGTTTGCACTTGTTAACTTGCCTTCTCATCTTTACCCTCAGAGGACACATGTGGTTCACAGAAAGCAACAATTACATTTTATTATTCCGCTGAAGCCATGTGTTAGTTTTTAAATCTTAATCTCTATGAAATATTGAAACTTTTAGAAGCTGCTGATTACCGGTCACTAAATGTTACATGTTATAGATTGGAAACAGACAATAATTACCTACTGTAGTAGTTATTAAAGCTATTACTGACTTCTGCTGGTAAGGTATTGTGACAAGTATAGAAACAAGCCCAGCAGTGGTGAAATAGGATTATAAATAGCACTATAGTGTACTTTTTTTTAATTACAATTAAAGAAACACTCCAGGCATCAGAATTAAGTTGTTAAGGTGTGAGGAGGTCCCTGGGTGCCAACGTACCTCAAAGGGTTAAACCTGTAAGGAATGGTTTAACCCCAACCCCATCATTCTGCCTAGCTATTTCTGCCACAATCCAAAGCTTAAATCAGGAAGCCTTGGACTGGGAGCCGCTGATAGGCTGTAAGCAATATTTGATGCTGCCAAATTGCAAAGCATATTTCTCCATTTCTCTAGATGCATAAAGAGATCAGACACCAGATTCAAAACTTGAGGATAACATCTGGTTAACATGTTCATTAATGGTTTAATCGCTTATGGTAAGCTGGTGTCCTGGAACTTCCTCTCACCATAACATTCATTTATTATAAAATCTAGCTATTTCTAAATGTTTTACTTGAAGGACAAAACATTCCATCTCCATATTTAGACCAATAGCCTTAAAAGGCTGTTTTCTTCTCACTTCAAAACTTTATTAACTTTTTTGTAATTCAAAATTTTAATTAAGATGATACAGAGTACAACAATTACAGCAATTACATCATCATATACAATAGTACATTATTGAAGATACAATTTATAGGAGTAGCAGCACCAGGACTACACAGTCTTGTTTGGAGTGTAACTTAAGAGACGATTGAAAATACAATGGTACATAATTAAAAGATACAATTGAGGCAATGAAAATAAATTACGTGGGTCTGCCTGAACTTCTACAGCCTGATCCTTTGCATCAGCCAACATGAAGGGGCAATGCTTAGAGGTTGTGTCTTTTAAACTCCAAATGTATCATTTCTGTTCACAATAAAATGATGAAGGGGTCGAATGATCTGGTGATAATATATTTATAGTGATACTCAGATATTCCAATAAGGATTGATCAGAATATACCCATATGCATTGAGCTCTCTAAAAGAGGTATTATATTTATGTTTATTATAAAAGTACACCCACCAAGGCTTTTTTTTTTTTATTATTCCCATTGGTTGTTTTCATATAGTATTTTGGATAATTTTTTTATTCATTGGAAAATGTTATCACTAAAATTTTTTTAAAGACAACCGTTTGTAACCAAGGGATAATGCTGCTGTCAAAGTGCAAAATCCCAGTAGAGTGGGTAAAACTGACCTAGTACCATGATTCTTAAATATAACACGGGTCCTAGTTGCATTTAGTGTTCTGTCCCACTGGTTCAAAATTGCTTCACGGGCTCCATGCCATTTACCTGGCCCAGTTAAACGGTACTGGTAAGGTGTGCAAGGGCCAAAGAAGATTTTCAATGCCAGCCTAGGATCTGTGAAAAAGAGACGAAGTATTTTGGGACGGTTTCCTATCTCCTTAGAAACCTCATCGATGTATTCAATATAATGTGTTTGAAAGATCTGCGTTTTTCCACTCCCAAACCTGAATAAAAAAATGTTTTCATTATTTACTGAGAATGAAATGAAAAAAAAATAAAAATATATATATATAAAGTTTCAATTTTGTTCCTCGATCATTTCTGGAACCTGGAGCCTCAGACTTTTTTTTTTGCGAACAGTCAAAATTGCTTCATTCACTTGATGTTATTTTGGTTTTCATTAGCTTAAGACTTTGAATTTTTATTTTTTACAAGTAAAAGTTTATATTTAAATGGTATTTAAGTGCAATTACAAACCTATAATGTGGTTGAAATATTAAGAAATATTCAATCTTTGGAAGCTGCTGATTACCAGTCATTAAATGTTATGTTTTGTAGAATGGAATCAGACAATTACCTACTGTAGTAAAAGTTATTTAAGCTATTACTAACTTCTACTGGTAAATTATTGTGACAAGTATTTTGGTGTACTTTGTATAACTGACTAGAAGACTACACACTATTTTATCCACTTTAGACATTTCTTCAGACCTCTCCTCAGTCTACTTCATACTCGTCCACCAGCGATGTATCTACCACAAGGCTTGCAAGGCATTTGCCATGCTCGGCATTTTCAGGGGGGCAGCAAAAAAAGTCGCCCCCCCCCAAACACCTTGGCAAATGCCTTGCCAGCCTCTTGTCCTGAGGGGCCCAGGAGCTGGCATCACTGCGGACGGCGACTGAGCAAACTCCCCTGAGCTCTCTCCTGCTCAGCTCCCTCGCCAGGCCCGCAGTGATGCCGGATCTGGAACATGACATCACTCTGGCCTCGGCATCACTGCGAGGCACACGTGGGAGCTGAGCAGGAAGATCAGAGCTCCCTTGCCGCCCGCCTCCACTGTGCCTGCCAGCCCGCCTGTCCGCCAATCTGCAGTCAGCCCCACTGGACCCAAAGGTAGGGAGGCTTGGGGGATTGAACTTTAAACTTTTTTTTTTAATTGTGAGTGTGTTTGTTTGTGTGTGTCTGCTAGTGTGTGTGTGTGTGTGTGGTTTAGTGAGTTCATTAGTGTGAGTGTGTTAGTGTGTGTGTGTCTGACTGTCAGAGAGTGTATATGTTTTTGTCAGTGAGTGTGTATGTGTGTTTGTCACTGAGAGTGTATATGATTTTTTTTGTCAGTGTGTGTATGCATGTCTGTCACTGAGAGTGTGTGTCTGTCAGTAAATGCGTATGTCTGTCAGGGAATGTGTATGTCTGACACTGAGTGTATATGTGTTTGTCAGTGTGTGTATGCATGTCTGTCACTGAGAGTGTGTGTCTGTCAGTAAATGCGTATCTCTGTCAGTGAGTCTGTATGTGTGTTTGTCAGTGTGTATTTGTCAGTTAATGTCAATGTGTGTGTCTGTCAGGGTGTGTGTGTGTGTCTTGTTAGTAAGTGTATATGTGTGTATCAGTGAATGCGTGTCTGTCGATGTGTATGTCGGTGAATGTGAGTGTGTGTGTGTGTAACTGTGAATGAGGGAGTGTGTATGTCTGTGAATGTGTATGTTTCAGTGAAAGTGTGTGTTGGTTAAACAATGTGTGACAATGACTTTGCATCTGTCCGTGAATCTGTCAATGCATGCATCAGTGAGGGCATGTGTCTGTCAGGAAGAGAAATTTGGAAAAGGGAGGGGTGGCTGAGTTTTGCCATGCCTAGGGCAGCACAAAACCAGAATACACCACTGCCCTCCACCTACTTCAAAACTCTGCTCTCTTCAGATACCTCTATCTACTTAATTGTGCATTTGAATATTGTGTATAGCATGCATATGTCCGAGCCTGCCTAACTGTATATCTGTTTGACAAGTGAACTGTATTTGCATGATGCATGTCTCCTATGTATCCCCCTTCAGCACTGTCCCATGGTCATGCACCCCCTCCAATGCATAATTTCAGCATAATCACATTGACACATATCTGGTTTGGTAAAAGAAATTACATTTTTTACCATTTTTCCTTCTTTTTGTTGCTTTTTACAGCATATGCTTCCATTGTTCTCGCTGCAGGAAGCTGAGCTGCACCTGAAAAAGAAAGTTTCCTGTTATAAAAAAATTCAATACATTGACCTAACATACATTTGGCAAATGATCCAAATATGAGGTTTCCATAATTATTTTTCTTTAGACTGCATTTCTTCTCTGATAATAATATAAATATTACAGTGGAGATCATGATACTGCTCCCATCTGTTCAAGACATTTGAGATTGTCTGTTCTTCAAACTGACTCTAAGAAAACAGGATTTCTCTTCTGTTTACAGCCATTTTGCTACATTGTGGTATATTTCTTTTTTTTCTATCACTACCAGAAGCCCTCTATTCTTTCTCAAATTAATAGCAATATGACCAACAGTCTTTTCTTCAAGCTCCTTGTTATATTGCTTAAAACATGGGTTGTCAACCTGGTCCCTACCGCCCACTAGTGGGCGTTTCAGGACTCCAGGTGGGCGGTAGGGATTTCGGCGGCTAAATCCTCTGTTTGAGAGGATTTCTCCTTTTTAGAGTGGGCGGGCGGGCGTGAGCGGCTTGGGGCGCAAGATTTCTGTGACCGGCAGGAGGGAAGCGCTCCCTCCTGCCAGGCCACCTTCTGGACCCCCCGGCGCGGCAGAGTTCTAATCCAAGGCGGACGAGGGAGCTCTAACCTCTCTGCTCTGATCCCTCGCGGGGTTTGCTGATGCCGCGGGAGCCAGAATATGACGTCATATTCCAGATCCTGGCATCAGTAGACAGCCCGCGAGGGAGCAGAACAGAGAGGTTAGAGCTCCCTCGCCGCCTCGGATTAGAACTTTGACGCCTGCCGAAGTGAAGGCCCACTGGACCCCAGGGACAGATCCACACCAGCTCTCCAGGTAGGGAGGCTGGGTGGACATTTAATAATAATTTGTGTGGCTGTAAGTGTATGTGTGAGTGTGTTTGTGTGTGTGTCTGTAAGTATATGTGTGTGTGTCTGTAAGTGTATGTGCGAGTCTGTGTATGTGTTTCTCTGTGAGTGTGTTTGTGTGTATGTGTTTCTCTGAGTGTGTGTTTGTCTGTGTGCATGTGTTTCTCTGTGAGTGTGTGTTTGAGTTTGTCTGTGAGTGTGTGTGTCTGTAAGTGTATGTTTGAGTTTGTGTATGTGTTTGTATGTGAGCAAAGTACTTGTAGAATAGAAGAAAGAAGGAGCAGAGTATTTGTAGAATAGGAGAAAGAAAGAGCAGAGTACTTGTAAAAAGGAGAAAGAAGGAAAAGGAGAGAATTGTTGTTGGCTAATAATAGTAAGTGGGCTACCTAGCTCAGCCTTCCTACTGGGCATTGCTATAAGGAAGGTTAAAAAATAGAAAAAAAGAAAAAAAAAAAAAGGTGGGGAGGAGAATTGAGGAGGGCGAGGAGGGGAGCTGATGCACAGATGAGAAATCATATTATGAGCAAACAGAGAAATCGTCTGAATATCACAGAAAGAGGAGACCTTTGTTTGTTCCTTACGAAAATCGAACCAGATATCAAATATTTAGTCTCGCAGCATCAACGTCAAGGATCTCATTAATCACTAGTAAATGTAATTTCAATTTACTTTGTTTTCTCATTAAACTTTATAAAGTTAAACATTGTAAACATGCATAAAGTAAAAAACACCCTCCTTTCTAAAAAATATTCTGCATTTGCGCAAAAACTGGTGGGCGGTAAGGAAATTTTTCCATCAAGAAAGATGAATTAGTGGGCGGTAGGTAGAAAAAGGTTGACTACCACTGGCTTAAAGGGACACTATAGTCACCCAGCCCACTTCATCTCATTGAAGTGGTCTGGTTGCAGTGACCCTCCCCCTTAGTCCTGCAATGTAATTACGTTTTTGAGAAACTGCAATGCTTACTTTGCAGCACTAAAACTATCTTTAGTGGCTGTCAATCATACAGCCACTAGAGGCACATCCTGGTTGCTAAGGAACTTTTAGTCTCCAAAATAATGCTGGACGACGTTAGGCTCTGCATGAGGACATCCAACATCAGTAAAATCCACATACGAAAGCATTGAAGCAATGCTTTCCTATGGAGAGAGCCTAATACGCTCCTCGGAGGAGGAGGTGCAGCATTGACCCAGCACCGAGGGACATACACTCTAAATAAAGTTAAGTGACTAAAGGTTTTTTAACTTTAGCTCCTGGGTGGGACCCCTTGGTTCTATAGTGTTAGTAATAAACAGTGAATGTAATACAACTAAATTTCTAAATATAGTTCATTGAGTACAAGGAGTTTTAGAAATATAAACAAGTCTCTGTATCATGCTTACAGAGTTATTTACAAAAGTGTGCACTGCTGAGAATTCAAAGTAAATAAAATTTTGGTCAAGCAACACTTTAATAAATCATTTTGAAAGTGGTGATGTAATGTAGTAAAATTGCAGCTAATAATAATAATAACAGTTTTCAAATAAAGTTTTGAAATGGCAAAATCCCTGCCCTCTTTTTCCTGTTCAAAAAGTAAACACATTTTTAGCTCAAAAATTTCTTTAAACTATTGAGGATGTCTCACACATATATACCTCCAAACACTCTGGCTGCCCACCGAGCCTGTATTTCCGTTGTTGGCAGTATTGATCCAAGTGGTTGAATGAGTCCAAGGAAAGCCATTGTTGGTTTAGCCAAATGAATTGGAAATACATTTTTATACATAGACACCGGGTTTTCATTCAATTTCAGGGCAGGGTCATCAATAAAGGGGTACATGGCATTGTAACCAGTAGCAAAAATAACATCATCCAGCCTGCCAGTTTCAGTATTATCTTCAAAGATAACAGATTCTTCTTTAAATTCCTTGATTTGAGGTTTCACCTTGATCAGCCCATGAAGTATTTGGCAGGGAAGGTAATCATTCACAACAGGGTGTTTCAACCTAACGCAGAAAAACAAAACAAAACAAAAATGAAAAATGCACTATGACTTGTTTTGTGCGGTGTTTATTTTCTTTCAAACACATATTTTTTTTGAACTAACAATATTTTTTTTGAACTAGCAATCAAACAGCTTTTAACGTAATAATGTCGTTACAGTGCACTATGCTTCCCTGAATTGAATGGGCTTTAACCCCTTAAGGACCAAACTTCTGGAATAAAAGGGAATCATGACATGTCACACATGTCATGTGTCCTTAAGGGGTTAAAGCCATTGCGGCAGCATGGTACATTTCAGCTCCAGGAACCTCTGGATACTCAAGCTTCTGGGGGACTGCCTGATAGCTCAGAAAGTCCCCCCACCCGGGCAAATCAGGCCCCTACAGCCCATGTGATTGTTTTGACACATGGCTACAATAGCAGGCAATGGATCTCCCTGTATATATATGTATATTCACTGAACAAAATTATAAATGCAACACTTTTGTTTTTGCCCCCATTTTTCATGGGCTGAACTCAAAGATCTAAGGCTTTTTCTATGTACACAAAAGGCCTATTTCTCTCAAATATTGTTCACAAATCTGTCTAAATCGGTGTTAGTGAGCACTTCTTTGCCGAGATAATCCATCCACCTCACAGGTGTGGCATATCAAGATGCTGATTAGAAAGCATAATATTGCACAGGTGTGTCATGAGCTCAGCTTATGAAAAATGGGGGCAAAAACAAAAGCTTTGCGTTTATAATTTTGTTCAGTGTATATATATATATATATATGTATATATATATATATATATATATATATATATATATATATAAAATTTCATGTAAGTATATTTTTATATTAATATATACACAGATTAATGTAAAAATAAATGTTTATAAACTTGCTATAATTACATTTACTGGGCATGACTGTCAGCTACGGGAGTCTGTCAGCCAAGCCCCACCCCTTCTCTTATACACCCTTCTTAGTTTCAGAACAGTCCACTAATGACAGAAACAATGCATCATTATACAGAATCAGGAGAGAAAAACCCAACTCTGGAGTCTGCGCTGCATGAATCACACTAATCATCCTCCTCTTCTCACCCTGTTAGGATGTTGTAAATTGAATAGATTTTCCAGCAACACATGTCTAAATCTGTCGGGAATACCCAATGCACTTTCCTAGGGATAGGACAGTGATTGCTTAGATAAGTATCCCCCCTCCAAGCACAGCTAGGTACATGTTGCATTTAAGAAGGAGAAAAGAAAAATTTAGGGATGAGTTATCAAAATTTTCTGTTGTAAAAAGTTGTACAAAAATGTAAAAAGGGGAGACGACACCAATAGAATGTGCTTGCTTGTTCAACTAGTTTCCATGGTAATTACCCACTTTTAGTACAGTAGACCGTTTTTAGAACACAACAGTTTGATAAATACTCCAATTGCTTCTGTTTATCCTCCTCTAACTGTACTGTATATAAGCCTAATAAAGGAATGTGGATTTCTGCATTTAGCATTATTTCTCAAACCTCACTAACACATACTCGTAAAATATAACTTTAGAGATTAATAAAGCAAAACAAAATTCAGTGACAGTTCCCCTCTGATGCTGTTGTCAAGTACTAATGCTAAATATTTACTGTCAGTTTGTTCTTTTCAGTAAATGTGTGTTTCTCTGTATTATAAAAAAAGAGGGTACATCAAAGAAGATAACTAATAATAATCTATGGGCTGGAAATAAGAAGGGAAGGATGGAAAAAAAGAGCTGTAGCGCATAGATATGTAAAGGGTTACTCCATGCATCATAACCACTACAGACCACTGCAGTCCTTGTGATGTTAGGCATTACCTGGTGCCATTTCCCAGTAATAAGGCAAATAGTTTTACAGTGGTTTGCCACACTTGGCTCCCACAATGGTGGCTTGACAGCATCCAATTTCTGCAGAGTTGCAAAAACCGAATGCCAATCCTACCACTCATTTATGCAGAGTTGCAAAAACCGAATGCCAATCCTACCACTCAGCCATTGAATGAGTATCTCTGCAATAATATGCACAGAATCTTAGAGTTACCTCCGACAAGTAACTGAATAGCTCTGCATATGCAGCACTTTAAGATGAAACGCGGCACATACAGACTTTGAATAACCCTTTAATATGTTTTAATGTCAAATGCTGAAAAGAATTACACAATAAATGGAAATCAATAGCTTACCAATAGTGATGTCCCGAACGGTTTGCCGAACGGTTCGCCACGGACTCATCATTGAGTAAACTTTGACCCTGTACCTCACAGTCAGCAGACACATTCCAGCCAATCAGCAGCAGACCCTCCCTCCCAGATCCTCCCACCTCCTGGACAGCTCACTAAGAATGCAGCATCACAATGAATGTAAAATGGATGCTGTCCAGGAGGTAGGAGGGTCTGGGAAGGAGGGTCTGCTGCTGATTGGCTGGAATGTGTCTGCTGACTGTGAGGTACAGGATCAAAGTTTACTCAATGATGAGTCCGCGGCGAACCGTTCGTGAACCGTTCGGCGAACCGTTCGGGACATCACTACTTACCAACTGTTCCAAAATACAGACAGCAGTTACAAAGTTAGGACATTTTAAATAAAGTGATAACCATTAAGATAATTTCCTGACACAAAACATGTATTTTTCAATATGATTAACATTAGTAAGTATTTATCATGCTTTAGTGCACACAACCATGTGAGTTTGCACAAGCAGCATGATGCAACTATTAAGCTATATTCATATGCACAATTACCTGTTTGTAGGTTCCAAACCATAATTGCTATGATCAAACCACTTGCTAAAGAAGTTCTCATTTAACTTGGCTGCAACAGCAAAAGGAAGCAAATTCTTGAGCAAAATTTTGCTGCGTCTTAAAAGGACCATGTCAATAGGGAAACCATTATGTGATATGCGGCTGACAATCCAGGTCCCCTGTCTGGTGCTGAGAAAGACCTAAGGAACATAGCATCAGTTAAAGACCTTGTCAGGTAATTTACAACTGAAGAGGGAATCATTTTCACTTACATTTGATAAATTAGATGTGAATCAACACAATAAACTACAAAACCTCCGAAATTGTGATACAATTTTAAAAAAGTGTGAAGTTTTTAAACCTGTACGCTATACTCCAGTTAATTAAAACAAATAATAATATATGATGCTTTTTTACAGTATATGATATGATATATAATATCTAGCATTGCTCCCCTCTAATCACACAATGCACAACATGTGATACTTTTCACGAGTGCATAGTACATGATCTCTTCTTTACAGAATCCTGTAAAGCTCAGCTAATAAGTCCCTGTCAGGCTTTTTCTCTGACATTCTCTTCCAATAGAATCCACCATATTTGAGAGTCTGGTCCATATAAAGATATTATCAGCTCCCTCTTCCCTTTTGATCCCAATAATTTTTGTCTTTGCAGTTATTTGATCTCATATGGTTTCTCAGATTAGTTCCTGTTTTTTCATATGTGAGCATGTTGTTGAACTGACATATGCCATCAGACAGAGGTCTATTATATCACATTTCAACCTTATTAAATTACATATTTGCTTCTGTTCATGCAATTATAGTAAGGCACATTGGTGTGTTGTAGGGTGGTTAATAATTTCTGCATTATCTAGCTTCTATTCTTGGCTATTATTAGCTTCCTGCATAATTCTGACTTTAGACTATCTAGTAACTAACTGTGGGTAATAACCAAGTCTGATCCTACATACAGTATCTCACAAAAGTGAGTACACCCCTCACATTTGTGTCAATATTTTATATCTCTGCTACAATGTAAAGTAGTAAGTGTACAGCCTGTATAACAATGTGAATTTGCTGTCCCCTCAAAATAACACACAGCCATTAATGCCTAACCGTTGGCAACAAAAGTGAGTACACCCTTAAGTGGAAATGTCCAAATCAGGCCCAACGTGTCAATATTTTGTGTGGCCACCATTATTTTCCAGCACTGCCTTAACCCTCATGGGCATGGATTCACCAGAGCTTCACAGGTTGCCACTGGCGTCCTCTTACACTCCTCCTGCTGGTGGATGTTAGAGACCTTGCACTCCCCAACCTTCCGTTTGAGGATGCCACAGAGATGCTCAATAGGGTTTAGGTCTGGAGACAGCTTGGCTAGTCCATCACCTTTACATTCAGTTTCTTTAGCAAGGCAGTGATCATCTTGGAGGTGTGTTTGGGGTCGTTATCATGTTGGAATACTGCCCTGTGGCCCAGTCTTCGAAGATAGGAGATCGTGCTCTGCTTCAGTATGTCACAGTTCATGTTGGCATTCATGGTTCTCTCAATGAACTGTAGCTCCCCAGTGCCAGCAGCACTCATGCAGGCCCAGACCAGAGTTCATATATGCCATGAGGTGCCATGTTGAACTTCCAGTGGCCAGTATGAGAGAGCGTGAGAGCGGTAACACCAAATTTAACACACCTGCTCCCCATTCACACCTGAGACCTTGTAACATGACACCGGGGAGGGAAAATGGCTAATTGGGTCCAATTTGAACATTTCCAATTAGGGATGTACTCACTTTTGTTGCCAACGGTTTAGACATTAATGGCTGTGTGTTGAGTATTTTGAGGGTACAGCACATTTACACTGTTATATAGGCTGTGCACTTACTACTTACATTGTAGCAGAGTATCATTTCTTCAGTGTTGTCACATGAAAAGATATAATATTTACAAAAATGTGAGGTGTGTGCTCACTTTTGTGAGATACTGTATATACGGTTCTTATTTATTTCATATGACATCAGTCTCATCTGTCCTATTTCCTGCTATACTACTGAGCTGCACATCTGGATCGTCACAGAAGTCAGAAGAAGGCAGGTACTACCCAAAGGCAATTAGGCGTTTGTCTGGAGTGTCAGACAAAATGGGGTGTTCTACAGCTCCATAACCTAAGGGGAGATAAAATTATGTCCTCTGAATGGTCTAACTATATACTCAATTATAAGGACATTTTGTGGACTGCATATACTGCAGGTGGAAATCACTGTCAGTACTCCTTCATGATTTAGATAAGCTAACAATTGCTCTGAGAGGGATCTGTCCTGAGAGATATCTTTGTCGGAGATGCAAACTTCAGGCTCCACCCAGTGAACCACTAGGGAACATGCCCACATTAGATACCCCCTGCTCTATAGAGGGACCCAAACAATGTTTTCTACGGTTCTCTCTTCATTATTTATGCCACTACATAGAATGTGATGCTGTATCGGAGTGTATGATACAATGGCATAGCAGTGTATAATGCATTATGTATGACACTCCCATATATGACAACTAAACATGTATGGCACTTGCCCTCTTCTGTGAACCAATGCTATGATGCTGTAATATGTGACACTATTACTGCATGACAAATAAACAACGGTGTATGGCACAGTTACCCACTAAGTGAGAAAACTCTAAAATATTCAATTAGCAATATTCTCAGTGTATGACGCAATGCAATATGTTACCCTTATTCCACACCGTGTGCTTCAATACTTTACCAGCTGCTTGAGATCTCACTAATGTACAGCCTCATTGCTTTTGCATAAGTGCAATGGCTGTAATTATCTTTTAATTCTATCTGGCCATCATCTTCAAGTTGCACTTTTCAACCTTTACCGTAGAGGTTCACAGGGTATCTAGATAAGTACGTTGTATAAAAAAGGTTTAATAACTAGATCTCAGCTCATAGGGAGGGCCTCTTTACTTTTTGTATTGGTCTGTGTATATTGTACTATCTTTTCCCCCAATTGTACAAATCTGCAGAATATGTTGGCACTTTTGAAACACAAGTAATAATAATAATAATAATAATAAATCTAGTATTATGTTCTGGTATTTCTAATTTCTTTGACAATTTTTCAATATTCCAGGTCATTGTTTGACATAATGCAAGATGACTCAAGAACAGCTAAAAAACAAAAAATGAAAGTACATTATAGATCAGCTACCTGTTTAGCTGCAAAACTTATTTCTGCAGCTATATCTCCAGCAGAGTTCCCAGCGCCCACTATTAACACTGTCTTTCCACGGTAATCTTCAGGCATTTTATAAAATCGACTATGAATGTAGCGACCTCTGAAATGTTCTATACCTATGAAGAAGGAGGTAAAAGTTACATATTTGCATGCTTTTTTTGCGTTCTTGCATGGGGTAAATTATGTACTTATTGTAGTGTTTAAATAAACCATGGAACTGACTTTTTGGGTAAGGTAAAGTGGGGGGCCCCAGCTCTTTATTAGATATTAATTTCATAACTCCACAGCACATGGTGTGAAAAAAGGGGAAAAGACTATTCACCATACTACTTCTTGGTGAATGGTTATCCTCCACCCCATATGTTGGGTGGAGTAAGAAGAAAGATAATAGTCATGAGCCCCCACTAGTGTGGTTATCAGGATGTGACATTTGCTTTTAATTATGAATACACTACTCATCTTGCACTGGGTATGGTTTAATCATCTCAGAGACCATGCGGGTTTTATTTTTGCATTTCTATGTTGCTTACTGCTGTGACCTTGACCATTGCCTCTCTTCTCATGATCCACCTTGTGTCCATGCCCATATGTAATGCCTTACTTCTATGATCTCTCCTCAAGTTCGCCTAAAACGCTTTATGACTCTATTCTTTCTATCCCTTCTTTCTATGTCCCCATGTCTCAATGTGTGTATATCTCCCCTACCAACTAACTACCAGTCTTTTTTAAGAAAAACTAATAGACATGGAAGGAAGAGACCTGAGGATGTGCATCTCTCTAATGTTGGCTTTGGAAGCTGAGAAGAAAGGGAAATATTGTCTTTTAATGTAACACAGCTTGCCTGTGCAGGCTAATAATCTAGAGTTATGTACCTTTCTGCGTTTTAAGAGAAATACGAACCTGGGAAACTATTAAGAGGTAAATAAGGATCTGAAAAATGGCCACTGCAAACGATAACTGCATCAAATGTCGCATGTTCCTTTATCCCATTCTTTTCTGTTACAATGTTCCATTGTCCTGTTATGTCAAAATCTGAATGTTTTGTCACACTGCAAACTTCAGTCTGTGGAAAAAATACAGTTACCAATGTACTCTGAAACAAGTTTATTATGTATTTTTTGTTATACAAATATATAGATAAATTTGGTATCTCTTATGCATGTGGTTGTACATCAGCCACAACATTAAAACCACCTGCCTAAGATCGTTTAGGTCCCACTCATGCTGCTAAAACAGTTCTGATGCACCAAGGCATGAACTCCACAAGACTTCTGAAGGTGTCCTGTGATAACTGGCACTAAGACATTAGCAACAGATCATTTAAGTCTTTCAGGTTGCAAGGTGGGGCATCCATGGATCGGAAGTGTTGTTCCAGCACATCCCACAGATTCTCAATCACATTGAGATCTTGAAGATTTGGAGGCCAAGGCAATACCATGAACTCTTTTTCATGTTCCTCAAACCATTACTGAACAATTTTTGCACTATGGCCCTGACACCGGTTCACTAGTTGTCCTTCTTTGCACCACTTTGTTTAGGTGCCAGCCACTGCATACCGCAAACACCCCACAAGACTTGCTATTTTGGAGATGCACTGACCCAGTTGTCTAGCCTTCATTATTTGGCTTTTGTCAAAGTCACCGAGATCTTTTCTCTTGCTCTTTTTTCCTGCTACCAACACATGAAATTCAAGAACTGACTGTTCACTTACTGCCTAACATATTCCTCCCATGACAGGTGCCATTGTAATGATATAATCAATGTTATTCACTGCACCTGTCAGTGGGTTTGATGTTGTGGCTGATCAATGTATTTCACATACTGTACATTATGCTACCTACATTGTGGATATTGTGCTGCTGGTTGTTAATGCTTGATACATGAAGCAGTGAGCATAGACCATTCACATTGGAAGAAATTTTTTTTACTATTGCAATTAAAAGTCCTATCAACTACAATTATATTATACAAAGGTAAGGCTAATTATGTGGCCCATTTAAGATATGTCACATAAGATAACATACCCTAATCGTTGCTACAAATAATGACACTTTTAATATAAAATATTCAAAGTGATTTTAGCAAGACAAAAGGGTATATTTAGATGCTTTTCAACTTGAGACAGTAAATACGAATAATTCAGATAAAGTTAAAAGAAATGCAATAATCTTTTTTTAACCTTAATTTTTTCCAAATTATCAGAATAAAGAAAATAAATAACTTACTTTTATTTGTATTTTCTCAGCTATGTAAAATATATTAAATAATGATTTTGACTCAATGAATGTCTCCCAACACCCTCTTTATTTATTGCTTGTGGAAGAAGAACAATACAATATCCTCTACGTTAATAATCATGTGCTGATGCATACCCCATAATTCCACATTTTGGAGGTTCACAATATTTTCCATTAGGAATTTTGCTAAAACGTAGACCACTGGGATGAGTGGACAGAGAGAATCTGAACTTTCAAAGGTATTGAAAGAACCAAAAACAAAATTTGTTTTTAAATATTTAATTTTTTTCGATATTAATCATTAAGGTATAGTTAACAACTACAGAGAGATTTTAAATAAAGATTGATTTTAAATTGGTTTCTGAAGTTTTTGCTTACATTGAACTGTATATGTTTCCGTAGCTTGAAATGGTCTGCATAAAGATGGAGGTATTCCAATATCTTTGAATGATGTGGATATACGGGAAAATCACTTGGCATAGGGAAATCACTATAAGACATCATCTCTTTGGAGGTATTGGTGGCCACAGAGCTGTATAAACTGCCTCTTCCTTCTTCAATATCATCCTGTATAATAAATAAAGTATGATTACAATGACAAATGGTGAAAAGAAAATTAGTGACTTGTTACTATATAATGTGAACCTACAATATAAATCATGTTGCAAAAATGTGTGTTTTGTATCCAAAAAAATAACACAAATCAAACAAAGTAATACTGGTGCACAAATTTAATTTAAAACAAATGACTGTTTCACACCATATTTGTTTATAATTTAGAAACAAAAAAAATCCAATGTACTACTAAGAAATAAACAGATGGCAGACTTCTAGGACATTTAGAAACACAACTTAATGTTAAAAAGCTATTCTACCAAAAATATGATCAGCAAAAGGAAAATAACTATAGATCATGTATAGATCTGTATCGTAATTTCATTTGGCAACCCCTCTCCTGCCTGCCGTTTTACAAAATCCCAGCAGCCCCCTTCCCAAAAAAATGCCTCTCCCTCTAAAGCCTCTGCTCAGCCCATTAGAATAGAATTATTTTTTTACACAGCAACATTAACAACAGTCTTTAGAGTCCAGTCCCAGGCACATTGTCACTTGCACAGTCACACACACAGTTACAGACAGTCACACATATAATTATAGGTAGACAGTCACATGCACACAGTCAAAGGCAGATAGTCACACACACAAACACAGATACAGGCAGCATCCCCCAATCACAGGCAGACAGTCACACACACATAGTCACATGCAGACAGTCACACACACACACACACACACACACACAGGCACACTGTCACACACAGACAGTCACAGACAGACGCGCAGGTTAATAATCTAGAGTTATGCATCTTTCTGCATTTTAAGAGAAATACGAACCTGGGAAATAAGGATCTGAAAAATGACCACTACAAACGATAACTGCATCAAATGTAGCATGTTCCTTTATCCCATTCCTTTCTGTTACACACAGAGTCACAGGCAGGCAATCACACACACACAGTCACAGACAGACAGTCACATACACAGTTACAGGCAGGCAGGCAGTCACACACACAGTCACAGGCAGACAATCACACACACAGTCACAGACAGACAGTCACATACACAATCACAGGCAGTCTCACACACACACACACACACAATTACAGGCAGACAGTCACATGCACACAGTCAAAGGCAGATAGTCACACACACAAACACAGTTACAGGCAGCATCCCCCAATCACAGGCAGACAGTCACACACACATGGTCACAGGCAGACAGTCACACACACACTCACAGGCACACTGTCACACACAGTCACAGGCAGACACTCACACACACAGAGTCACAGGCAGGCAGTCACACACACACAGTCACAGGCAGACAATCACACACACAGTCACAGGCAGACAGTCACACACACACACACACACACAGGCAGACAGTCACACAAACACAGTCTCACACACACACACACACAGAGTCACAGGAAGACAGTCAACACATACACCCACACACACACATATACAAACAAACTCTGTCTTACTTAAAGACCATATGGGCTGGAGGAGGAGTGGATTAGCTGAAGTCCCTGGACTGGAATGTGATGTGATAACTTTAAACAACCAGTTAAAAGGCTAATAGAAGGAGCTATTTGGAAGGCAAATCAAAGTGAGGGTATGTATAATAACTGACAGGGACATCTAGAAAATATAGAAAACATAATGAATTAAAGTAATCTCCTTACACAATTGTGTAACTTCAATATCCCGAATCTAGGGCACCATAGCTCTCTCTGCATTCCCCCCTCCCTTGCACCCCCCTCCCCTGCACCCCCCTCCCCAGTGAATAAAGGGTTAAAAATCCTCTATTTACTTACCTTATCCCAGGGCCGATGTCCCCCAGCTCCTGGCTCTGCCCCCTCCAACAGCCCGCAACGAGACATATACATTTAAGACATAAACTATGCACTTACTGTGAATCTCCAAAGTCCACCAATGTCAAAGCTTCTCTCAAAACATGTTGGTTGCAAACCTTCTTCTAGACAGCTCTTGATTGCAGTTAGCCCACTTGCCCCACCACCTATTATAGCCACTTTTTTACTCATCTTGCCCTAAAATGTCGATATATAATGGTAATCATGTCAGTTTAGAAAATTATTTACAGGCACATTTCTAAAACCCATACAGTGGTACAGATTAATACAGATTAATTGGTTTACAAATTTTTCGCAATGCAAAACTTCCCAGTGAACGCATTAAATTCGTAGACTGAGGTTCCACTGTATATAACTACGAAAGACAAATACTTATTTTTTATGAATTAATATTCTTCATATGGAGTTTTACTTTACAGTAAAAAAGCATTTGAAGACATTCCTGAAATTTATACAGAAAGTTGTGATGTTGGGATTGCGATGGCGTTTAACTTATTTACATTTATGATTAATTTCTGTTTCTATAATTCAATAATCTACTGGAAGTCCATTCTTGGAGCAAGTGCATCTACTACTTGGTTTTGTCTTCTGTTTATTTTTTTATATGTCATTCTAACTAGCTCTAAGTATTAAACAAAAGAGTAAATTAATTTGTTCCCTCGTTTCATGTTTCTTGGGACTTGGCTTTACTCAAAAGCACTAAGTGGTACCTATTTATGATTATCAGAATTTTTCAAATGTAAAGGGACACTTCACAACAGAAACACAGACAAAAAAAAAATCAACAACTACAAAACAAACACTATTTAGTAGATATAACTCCAATGAAAACATGCATGCATTTAATCGTGTATTTTTTTCAATGGGGTATATTTAAAAACATATCTGCTGCCCAAGAGTAGTGGGAGTTTGAGTGTAGGGCTTCATTTTGTATGTTTGTATTTGCTTTACACAGCCATGTTACAGTGCTGCCAACCACCCCATGTGTTTCATATTAAGGGTTAATACGTTTGTAGGGGTTTAGAAAAATACACCTCTGTTTGCTTTTTGGCTCAAGGAAACAATATGAATTGATAGTGTAGGACTCACCCAAGAGGTTTTCAATAGACCTGGCAGGTGAGCTTACACTTTAATGGCCACTGGAGTGATTCTAAAAAAAACCTCCAGTTATTAAAGTGACACTATACTCATCATAACCACTACAGCTTAATGTTCTGGTGTCTATACCATGCCCCTGCAGTGTTAGCTATGTAAACACTGTCTTTTCAGAGAAAAGGCAATGTTTACATTGGTGCCTAATGGCCACTAGAGGCTCTTCTTAGTCCAGTACTGCACAGTGTGTGAATAAGGAAAGATGAGGGGGAGGGGGGTACGCTTGTGACCTGCACGTGGCCTTGTTGGATCTGCCAACAGGCACATTTGCTTAAATATGAGGCTTTCAAGGAAACATGAGGTTTTCAAGGAAACTAGAATAAAGAATAAAGTACTCTATCTATGGTAAATTAAAGTGTTCTGTTCTATAAAATGGTCTAAATGACTTGAAGTAAGACAGTTAGTATTGATTTTAGTTAAACCAGTAGGCACATTATATGACTACTTCATTTTTTACACCACTTTTTTTTTTTTTTTTATATTATTTATTTTCTTTTTAATTGATCTTTATTGAATCTTTTTTTTTCATATAAAAAATATATGGTACATAACACTAACAAAAAAGCAATATACACAAAAAGAAAACAGTCATATATCTATTACTCAGTTCTATAAATGTATATTGAATTGCTACAAATATCCATTCAATCATTCATACTCTAGGTGTCTCCTGTTGGTACTCTCCATCAGACTATTTTGTGGTGTTTTCGGAAATTGTATTTTTAATTGGGTTAATTGCTTAACCATCTACTCAGGTTCGTACCATAGTCAGTTTGTTTCTAAGATCTATAAGTGTCTGATGTATCTTATCATTGTTATTATTATAATTGATTGCATTCTCCATCTCTAACTGATATAGAACTTTGAATTGGGTAAATGTTGGACATGTATTTGTCTTCCATCCTCTCATTATCAAAATTGTAGCTGCCATCATAGAATGGGTTAGTATTATCCTGCTTTTAACATTGAGTATTCCCCAATTTAAATGTAATAAGGCTACTTCTGGCTTTCTGGGTAAATAAATGTTTCCTGTATTATGTATTCTGGTATATACTACATTCCAAAGTGGGGTAATATGCAAACAACTCCACCAAACATGGGACATAGTACCTTCAGCTTGAATACATCTCCAACATATTGGGGAGGGTATTGCCGATATTGGCACTAAATACCATTACCCCACATTACTCACAAGAAATGTCAGTAATATGAACATTAGCTGAGACTGGTTGAAAGGTTTTTATTTGGTCATATACACCTTACACTTTTAATACAGATTGTTGTTTAAGTGAGGTTGGATAGTTATCGTGCTGACAGTTATCCCTTGGAGCTCTCACACATATAGTGTGTTTTATTGCTATTTATCACACAAATGGTAGAGGATGTGTCTTAGCTGCTAAAATGATAGCAGGTACTGAAAGACAGTCTGTCAATACAATCTCTCAGAGAAATACGAATTGCTGACTCAAATAGACAACAAAAAAAAACTTAAACTTGGATATTTTTATAGTTTTGCTATCTTAATCTACATGATTATTCACTGGAGTATTCAAATTCTCTAAGTCAGCTACTGTAGCCTTACATTTAAAACCAAACAACTTATATTCATGGTCAATTAATACTTCCTTCAGAATGACAGCTCAATTATTTTACTCTAATATTTGCAATTCCCTTGTAGTGTCCACAAATTCCTAGTGCAGTGAATAACCATTTTGCATTGAGCATATTTATGCCACTTCATAGACATACTTATAATTTACTTAACTGTGCTAATGGTATACAATCAAAATTTGGAATCTTAAAATTTAAATTTCAACTACATACTTGGAACTGGACTCTAGTAAACTTATTTCTGTTGCCAAAACCAATTTACATGCAATTTGCTAAAGTATGCCTAACTGCATTAAATAAAAATAAAAATGTATATATATATTTTAAACAGAATAAGATTAATCATTAGTAATTACAATTTTTTAATTTACTTTACCTTGTGGTTAAGTCTGTCTTCTTTAGCAGCAAGCCAGCAACTCAGTTCATTGCCAAAAGTCCAGAGATTTTATATGTTAATGATGTTAATAATTCTCATATTTGTTGTAAAAATTTTCTGGATAGTTAACCATTTATTGCAAAATATGCACTGGAGTTTATTTACCAAACAGTGAATTGTGAGAAATTGAAACTCAAGTCATGTTAAAATTGGTAAATTGGAAAAACAATTTAACTAAAATTTTGAATTCACAGAGTTATTCAATAACTTACACTTATTAAATGCTCTTATTTAACCCACTGTAAAAAAAAACAAAAAACAGCATTGTAAATAAGTAGCATTTCTCAATACATAACATTATGTAATATGTGACTTTTTACCAAGATAGCCCATAATCTTCTCATATATACATTATCCCATTTGCACTCACTCAGTTCGTCATTGGTGTGTGTGTTTATATATATATATAAAAAATATATATATATATATACATACAGTGGGGAAAGCGGGTCTCATGGCTTGATTGGTGTAAAGATATTTTGTTTAACATTGCATTGATTAATTTATTATTTTTATTATTATTAATAAATTAATCAGTGCAATGTTAAACAATTATATTTGTTCTGCTGAAAAAGTTACCTTCTTCCCAAGATCTGGTTCATATAGTTATACGCAAAATTCAACTTAGAAGGGCACTCTTCCATGAGATCATTCATCTGGTTGAGGGGAACAAGCTCCAGGGTAAGACCATTGACTCTGTTCGGTAGTTTGTTTGTTTTCAAACTACTGAACCAGACCGACCGCAAGCCCTGATTCTCTGGAACTGTTTTGGGCATGAGACCATGCCTGCGGCTGGTCAAATAAATGACTTCCATAGAATTTCGGAACCCCTGAACTGATCTGGGTGATTTTTGAATATGCTGGTCACCCAGCTCAGGGCTGTCAGGGGATGTTTGTGGGAATTCTATGTACTTTGGGGTACTTTTGAAACTTTATAGAAATGTGTGTTTTTTTCTGCCTGGAGATAATTGAGTTAATACATTATCTGGCTCAATTATCTCACAGGCAGAGGGGAGGGATTGTATGTTTGTTAAAGGAGTGTCATGCATTTAATCACTTTTCTTTTTGGTCTGTGTCTTTGTGTTGTCATAAAAGGCCAGTGTGGCACCATTAAAATTCAGTCCAACTATACCAGCTATAATCCCTGCTCCTGGGAATGTTCTTTGGATTACTATACAGGCTATAACCACTAGCCCTTGTTATAGAGCTTCACAGCTAAACCCTCTTGGAGGAGAGGCCTTCCCACTGAGAATTGGATCCAGGGTGGGAAGGGACGGCGAGACCCCAGCCAAGCTATGGTGCTGTTGGTGTCCGGTGCGGTGCTTATGGTCCTTAGTATCAGCTAGGAAACATCGATTGATGGAGGCCCGAGGGGGATGATTACGATGGCCCTGGTCTTCTATGGGATGCCTTGGAGGAGGGCATCAATTTTGGAAGCACGGAGGAGTCTAGAGGTACAGCCAAATCGAATCTGCAAGAGGGTTATTTAAACTCATTTATTCCTTAGCTCTTTGCCCTGTTGCCAGGACTACCAACACCTGCTCAGCTCAATTCGGCCCCAATCTACCCGGCAGGCAGACCCAGGCAGACCCTACAGCTGGGAAGACCTGGCTAGCTACCGAAGTAGGGGACCTCACAGACTGGTCCTGGGAAGACCTTCAGACGGCAGGTGGAGATGGGACCAAGGTCTCTCCACCGGCCCTATAGGGATGCTGGGCAGCCGGCCCAGATCCCTAGCTACAGCCAGAGTTACCAGAAGTAGAGACAGTCGGTCCTACTCCCCAGCAGCTGAGTATGTTACTGGGAGAGGAGACAACTGGTCTCTCTCCCCAGCAGCAGTGTATCATACAGGGAGTGGAGACTGTCAGTTTCACTCCCCAGCAGCCGAGTATGTTACTGGGAGAAGAGACAACCAGTCTCTCTCCCCAGCGGCAGGACAAGTTATTGGGATTGGAGGCAGTTGGTCTCACTGTCCAGCAGCAGTGTGCATTACAGGCAAAGGAGACAACCGGTCTCTCTCTCCAACAGCAGCCGGAGATAACGGGAGAGGAGACAACTGGTCCTTCTCCCCAACTACAGGTGGACAGCACCCCTGACCCCAATGGTGCAGATGGGACCGCAGTCTCTTAACCAAACCTACAGGGATGCTGGATGGTCGGTCCATATCCCCAACCAGGAGGAGGAGGAGGTAGGCGATCCCTCCTCTCCACAGCAGATTCCCAACCAGTCCTGGGGTTAGCGGATGCGACTACAATACCCACTGACCCCCTTCCAGCAGAAGAGCTGGCATCCAGGCAGAGCACCGCTGGCCTCGGCCTTACCTGCCCCCTTGTTACAGGGCAGGACTACGTACCAGTTCCCCCAGCAGAAGAGCTGGCATCAGCCCTACTTGCACCCTTGTTACAGAGCATGACTACATACCAGTCTCCCCAGCAGAAGCGCTGGCACCAGGGCAGAGTGCAGTTAGCCTCTGCCTTCCCTTTTCCCGTTGTCCAGGGCCTGAATATCCACAGGCCACCCCAGCAGAAGTGCTGGCAACAGTGCAGAACACAATCGGAATCTGCCCTCCCCTTGTCCTTAATCCAAGACCGGATGACCCTCTGAACAACCCAGCTGTAACAATGGCTGCGGAGCAGAGCACTGCTGGTCTCTGCCCAACAAGTATCACCAAATTACGAGCCGGAGAGCAACCGAGAGTCCAGGAGTACCAGATGCCCACTTGACCGCTAGGACAGACAAACACCAGAGATCTGCAGGTCAAGTGATTGGTTGTGAGTGGGCTACCAGACTAACTCAGGTACCGAAAGGCAGCAGGTCAGGTACCTGGTTAGTCTTCCCCTGGGGCGGAAGATATGTGGCAAAAGTGAACTCGCCACTGGCTTTTGGAGGAGCCTGCTTTCCAGCCTCCTACCTTGTGACTATGGCCCCTGCACTAGACCTGGCTACAATACTTCAAACAGGCTCTGTTCGTGCAATTGGGACTATATGGTTCGTTTACCGAACAACCACATGAACCAGAGACCACCCTGGAGCTTGTTAACACCTATTAACAACTTGGAACATTTCTCACCGCAGTGTTCTAATTGTTTGTCTGGGTGGCCGCAATTCCTATGGACAACCACAAGGTGATGGCCATCTTGTTAGCATGAACGCAGGCAGCGGTGTTTGGGCATGAATCTCATGGAACTAAAATTGGATACAGAAACTCCCGAACACCACTGGACTTCCATCATCGCCTGCATTCAATTCTATTTAACTTAGAAGGGCACTGGATGAGGGGAACAAGCTCCAGAGTAAGACTGGTGACACTGTTCGGTAGTTTGTTAGTTTTCAAACACCTAACAACTTGGAACATTTCTCACTGTTCTAATTGTTCGTCTGGGTGGCCGCAATCTTAGAGGAGAGGCCTTCCCACTGAGAATTGGATCCAGGCGCTTGGTCCAGGGTGGTGTCAGAGTATTTATATCGGCGGACATCTTGTGCTATGATAGAAATAAAAGTGTATATTCTGAGTCACTCTGAACAGAGCAGACTCCATTTTGTTATTTCCAAGTTAACAAAAAGACACAAGATTTCTATCTGTAAAACTAACCACGTTCCCAGAGCTAAAGGAATGCATAGTATATACAAACCAAGTGATAAGGAGAACGGGGGTTGGATAGACTGTCTAAATGCTAATGGAATAGATCAATTCTAAACCCAGACATTTGTGACAGAGAAGATTAAATAATTTAATTTTACTTTCTATATATGTAAGGTACCATTGTACGGAAAAGGTTAAACTTAGTTCATGATCTGCCATATCAGAAATTATAGCAGGAATTGCGGACACTAAGTCTGGCACAAATGTTTGGTCTGAAAGGAAAAGTAATTTATGGCAGACTATAAAGATAACGCAAAATGACGTCAAAATAGCCACCAAGAAAAGTTAACTCTTTCCTGGATAGGTATGTTTAGTGGGACAAGACTGCCCTCTATAGACCAAATACCTAAATTGCGATCTGGAAGATAACCACACCTCTAGTGCTTCTATTGGGTTATCAACTGATGACGTACAGAGAGTCTGGCCCTTTAAAAGTTAGGACAAAGGGAAGATAGGGTATGCAAAGAAAGAAAAGAAGTGAGCAGTTGGAAGCAATGCAGAGAGGCCTATGACAGATATCCACTCTAGGACACTATTACCTACACACCTCCATGCAGAGAGACATCCAAATAAGCTCCTGAGACTATCTACCAATCGAATGAAATATCTACTCAACTAGTAATTATACTGGTTTCATTTAATTAATTAAATTAATTAAAATTTACCAATAGCATGATATATGACTAAGATAAAGCACGGTCAGATTTCCATATTAAGAAATCTTAGTTAACTAAAGAATATATAGTTATAAACATTCCATTCTGCAGGTGGAATTAAGAATAATTATATATTGATGTGATATTATCACGTGGTAGCATACCGTTGTTTTTATCCAGGTGTATTGATTTGCTCTAATATAAGATAGATATCTTTTAGACAAATTAAACTCTGCTTATATAACATGGTAGATTCTCTTATTGGATGGTTCCAGGAAATGACTAATGAACTGGTTTAAATGTTATTTTATTTAAAATTACATAAGAATAGGTCTTAATTACCTAGGAGATCTAGCCAGCATTGAAAGGGTTATTCTAACTGTTAGCTAGGGTTTTATGGCCCTTCGCTGTGAAAAGCTTTGCTCTATGTCTGTGAAAGATAGTCATAAATCGTGTAAGACTTGACAGAAAATGCTGTTTAGCCATTGAAACGTGTATAGCCATTCCTTTGTATTGCATACCATTTTATACTGGATATTCATTGATTATTGTCACGCATGTTACATATTATTATTATTAATTAATTAGTCATTATAAAATAAAATCTATTTTTATAAAATTGTGATATTATTTATATGAAATACTTCTCACTTAACACGATAACGATCTTTGGGTCTGAGAATTGAATTAGTGGGCAATTCTCACTGTTACTATTATTATCCCATAAATATCCCCACATAT